GGCTATAAGGCAGGTTGTCCCACTGTGGATATATGTATTGGTGCCCATGGTACAGTACAAAAGGAATTCTGTTTGTCTTGCTCTTTTGCAGATAATCAACATCAGTAGTTCTTTCTGAATTTCTATGGGATATATGTTGTTTGGGCTACCTAGTGAAGTGTTACTCCAGAGCCTTGAAGTCAAATTTTAGTCCTTCCAAGGAGTGAAGTCCTTATAAACTACTGTTACAGGATGGTTTTATAGAAAGTAAATTCTGTTACATTGAAAAAAGATAAATCCTTCTTTGGCTTTCATCCCAGTGATGCTGTGATGCTTACAACTGGAAAGCCATCCTGCTTTCTCTGCATTTCTGTTTATCTGTTGGAATGCTTTCCGTGCAACCCGTAACCATCAGATTCTTCATGTGTTTTTTGGCTGTTCTTTCTTGCCCTCAACCACAAGCTCTTTATGGCTAAGATTGGGTTGGTTGTTTTGGGTTTTTTTTTGTACAGCTGGGAGTGCATGGGTAAAGCTTTGCAAATAAGAATCAATGTTTCTAAAATCAAATGTCAGAATGATAAATGAAAAGGTCAAGTGCTGGGATTCAGATAAATTTCAACAAAGCTTAAACTTGAAGTATATGTAGAACTGAAGTTTACTTAAAATACCTTAAACCTGAACTTGAAAAGCTTGGAAAAACTCAAACACTTAAAACAGAAGTTTATTTAGTGCATGAGGGAGGAGGAGGACAGTGGTAGGTAGGCTTTCTCAGGCATACTGCATGGATTAAATACCCCTCGTCCTTCTCCTCATTGCAGTTCTGGTCAGTTGTTGGAGGTGAGATTGGTTGTTCTTGTTTCTGCCCATCTGTAGATCTTCTTTCTGATTAAAAAAAAAAAAATTGCTAATTGACAACTCTTGAGAGTGGCACGAGGTTTCCTTTCTTAGATGTGTATGGTGTAGAACCAATGCCAAAACAACCAAGTCTGAACAGGGAGTGATGGGAAAATGGAAAACCATTTTGGAATTCCTGTCTACACGGTGTTCAGAGTCCTTCAGCATTACAGCTTGTGTGTGGGCTGGTTTGATCTGAAGGACCATTGACCTTCCTCTCATATTTGCCCTCAAAATACATACTTTGCCTGCAATGCCTAGAGGAAATAAACCACCTAATTATGGTTAAATGAAATGGTAGCTGGGAGTAGTGGAGGAAAAGGATTTATTGCTTCAGCACTAGGTGTTCATATCCCTTCCTACTGCCTGTGCTTGTTTGTAAACTCTTTGGGGCAGAAGCTCCCTTTGCACTGGCATTTTTACAGCATGTAACCAATGGAGCCCTAATCCTAGATGAGTTTTTGGGAACCACAGTAAAGCAAATAAATGCTTTTTTCCTTTCTTTCCCTGTCAGTTACCATACCCAGTGAAATGAAGAACAGTCATTTGTCCTTACCCATGAAATTTTGTGCAAAATAACACTGAAGTTCTATAGAAGAGACTTTAATACAACTGACTGTATTAATTCTTTAATGCTTAACAGAGCAGAAAGGTATCCATCCCATTTGGAGAAGGCTTCAGTAGCTTTCTATTTTACTGACCTGTGCAGATTTTTATAATGTCTAAAACCACTGTTGCTTTGAAGAACTTGAACCTGGATTTTCATTTCATGTCCTACTTTCAAATTTGCAAATGCAAGGGATTTCACTGTGGTATCCTAAGGTGGAAAACCTAATATAATTCCAGAAACATTGCAATATAATTGTCTATATGTATATAGAGCATGTGATAAACCTCCCAGACATTGAAATTCAAAAGATTCAGCTATTTGAAAGAAATAATATCAATGTTTTAAGTACAGACAACTGCTGCTGGAGTAAAACCTACTGGCTGCCATGAGGATGCCCATAGCTGAGTGGGAGCTGGGCAAGGGAGGTGGGATTTATATTTGCCTGTTCAGGTTAGTTTGGCTTTCAGGGCAGTTCATGTGTAGTCCAGATCCTGATCCCACAGTAGGACCATTATTCTCACTGCAGTCTACCACGTCTGAAAGAGCCAGTTCTTGCTACCCAAAAAGATAGAAATTGCTTTCTGGGGCTCATAGAAGGAACTGTCTTGAAGGATGTGCTCCTCTTATAATAGGAGAAAATGCAGTTTAACTCTTTTCTCCTGTTTTTTTTCCTCCTCATTTTCACACTTGAAGTAAATTGACTATATTAGGGTCCTTATGAATCTTGATTTGGTTATGATCTGCCTTTTGTTTTCCCTTTTCTTACTAGATTAAAGTTTTTTGAAGTTTTTCAGAGGCTGTTCCCTGCCTTCCCACTGGTTGGAGAAGTCCACTTGTCTAGAAACCTAAATTTAGTCCTTTGTTGACGCAGAATAGTCATTCAGGCTTATCTGTCACTCAGTTTTTCTCCTATGTTTTTGCCAGAGCACTTCCTAACAAGATAAAATAAAATATCTTCCAAACCTGCCTGTCTCTTTGCAAACTAAGTTAGCATACTTAGAAAAATTGGAATGACATGTGCATAATGAACTGAGAGATCATTTTAAGTTACTGATGTAAGGGCCAACTGTTAAGATAAGGGGGAAGAAAATCTCCCTTCAGGAAGTATTTCCAGGATTTTTTGACAAGACCAAGTGTTCAGCAGTGTCACCTTATTTTCCTACTGCTGCTGTACACTTCTCTTGCCAAAAAAACCCAACAAAAACTGGTCATGAGTTTGAACTCACAGTCCTCCCCTTTTTTCCTAGGTGAGAGGTGTTGATATTCTCCCTTCCTTACACATCAAGTATGTGCTCCTTTTGGACTCTATGACTTGTGGCACTTTCATCAGAGCCAAAACCACCTCTACCACAGAAAGAGGTGACCCAGGGGGAGTTTGTAATGCCACCCTGTCCTGATCTGTACGTGTCTTCCTCCTCTTTCTCATTTCTCTGTCTACTCAGCTGCTCCCAAGCGTCCGCCAGGAAGGTGATGGAGCAGAACAAAGCAGTCTGTACTTCTGTCAGATGACAAAGCTCAGGGGATGCCATCTCACTTTATTCCTTGAATTACAGGAACCTAAAGGCTCTGTTGAGGGCATGTTCCTCTGCAGCTGATGTTTCATAGAGATCTTTGCTACCTTGCGGCCTGTTTGAGCCAGACAGCACAGGAAAGCTCCTTTTACTGGTTTCCACCGATGGTCTTGAAAGGAACAGTCATATTAATACTCATTGTCTGCTCCATAAAAAAAGGACCAAATTGCTGTATTAGACAAGAAGTCTGAATTTTGCTTCTTGAGAGAATGAGACTTTCTAAAAATTCAAAAGTGAAGTGAACTTAAGAAGAAGTTTTTGCATCCATCGTTTGACTTCCATAAGATAAAATAAAATAATAAATGGGTAATGTTTTTGTGCCCCTGTTCAGGATACTCAGGTTCAGAATAGGAGAGAGAGGCTCAAGTAGGTCATGATGGAGATTGGCAGGGTTTGTCAATTTTTTTTTCTTTTTGTTTCTTTTTTCTTTTTCTTTTATTTTTGTGCCCTCAGTAGGACTTGAATTCAGGAGCATGTTGTAGGGCACAAGTGAGGTTTACTTGCAGAGCTGTCCTTGGAGCTCACCTGCTCAAATGAAAGCTAGGGCTACTAATCTCCTATTTTGGTGAGTAAGTCAGTCTTTATCAGAGCTGAAAATACAGTGAAAACTATCAGTCATAACCATCTTGAGGCATTCTTGCTGTACGAAGGGGAATCTCAAGGTTGAAAATAGACATGAATTGGACTAGATTTAAAACTATTGCAAAATATCACCGGCTGCCTCAGAGGACCTTTTGCAGAGGGGCTGTTTTGATGCACAAGCTTGGCAGGTCACTCTGGCATTTTAAAGCAACTGGTACAAAAACATTTTGTAAAATAAGGAGAGCGTGTGAAGGAGCAAGGATAGCTGGAATCAGCTAAGAAAACTTAGGCTGTGGTTTCATTTCTGTCTCACTGAAGGCAAACTGTGGGATTTGGACAGGAGCAAAGTATGAACAAGATCCTGTGTTTTTTGTGTGAAAAGCAGAGTGGTATTTCATCTATTTTAAAAAGGGTTTCAAGTATTTGCAGAGCATTACCAGTACTGCAGACATGAGTAACAGCAGAAATTCCATTTTTAATTGTTTTGCATTCCTTCATCTTAGGATCCTGGATCTCTTAATACACACATTAAATGAAAACTTAGAGCTTTTGTTTAGGGTGAATATTTTCTGCTGCAAGGGAGGAACTAATGCAAGAGAAATTCTGGCTCAACTGATTAAAAACCTCAGTACAGGAAACTTTCACCATGTTATAGAGAAATTCCAGAGACAGACCTGAAAGAGGAAACGGTCTTGGCTAAAATCACTTTTGTTGGATGAGTAATGGTAGTTTTTGACTATGAAAAATGCCGATGCAGAATCGTGAGCATTGTCTATTTTGGAAATTTTTCTTCAGTTTTCCAAGGAGCATTTTTTATTTTTTTTTAATAGTTTTGAAATATTTTTTTAACAAATAATCCAGTGAAAGGGTGAAAAATGGCACCAAACTCACTTGGGCAAGGTAGTAGGTGGATTTCTTGAGCAGCAGAGAGAACTGCAAATGTTTACAGATGCTTTTTTGTGGGGGAGTGGGGGAATTGGTTGGAAGGATGGCAATTAAGGATTCATAATTGTCATAAAAAAGCAGATATGAAGTGAAGGTTGCTAGGAGGACAGATGAAATGGGATGGACATGAAGGGGAAGTGAATTTCACTTGGGGGATGTCCTCAGCACCAACACTGCAGATGGCTCAGATGAGCACTTTACTAATTATTTTAGAGTTGTCTTTGCTTAATGTGATGATAAATTTAAGAAAAAATAAAAAATTGACAGATTCTTGTTGATCCAAAGGGAGACGATAGAAAATTGCTGTGTAAAAGTGATTATTGGAAGAAGTGATGTGTGGATGCTAAAGCAGCTTATAAAGAAGTACCTAAAATATTATGAAAAATAGCTTAAACTTGCTTTTTCTTTTTTTGTTTCAGTGTTCTGAGGTCATGAAACTTAATCCACAGCAAGCCCCGTTATATGTGAGTACCAATTAAAATACTTTTTTTTTCCTTTTCTACTATTCACACAAAATGCTTTCCACCATCTTTTTGGAGATGCTGCTCCTTTTCTCTTTGCTCCCTGAGGAGGTTATTTATATTAATTCAGTTGCAAATGCTCAGTGATAAAGCCCAGGTAAGTCACAGAGCTCCTCTGGCTTTCCAGCAGACTGTTTTAAATAACTTTTGAGCCATACAATGCTGTCTCTGTGCAGGTATCCCCTGCTTTTATTTTTTTCCCCTCCCCTGGAGCTCACGGCCGCGCTCCTGTGACTTGATGTGTTGAGAGGTGGTAAGAAGAAATTGCCTGGGTGGAAAATGGGGCATCCCAGCGTGCAGTGCTTGCCCACTGTGGTAATATTTTTCTGGTTGCAGTTTTAAACGTGGCAGGGAGGAACTGGAAGCAGCGCAGGGCTCGGCTGCAGCGGGGTATGGTTTACGTCAGCCTCCTGGAAGCTCATAACCTCCGTGGCTCCATTAGCAAGGAACAAGCTTCCTCTTGCTCTTGAATAGCAGCTTTGTTGCAGAACATGGGGACTGTCAAATTAGACCTGGGTTTGCGGGGGTGTGCGAATGTGTGTGTTAAATTTGTGCCAAAGCTGCCAGCCAGGTCTGTAACTGTTTGCTTTCCATATTGCCTTGCCCCGCTCGGAGCAGCGTTAGCTGCTGCAGCTCATGGCCCTGCCCTCGCCAGCAAGGGCAGAGCTGGATGCAAGGATGGAAAACTTGAAGGGAAAATTGCTTGCAAATGTGGCTTTTAAAGGGAAGGAAGAACAATCAGGACTGTTAGTAGACCTGTATCTTGGAGGGTGTTGTGCATTGTAAATAATGGATTGTATTCACCTTTAATGCTGTGGGAGCTTTAAATTTTACCTACTTTTAAGTACCAACTGGAAGTCTATATTGGAATTTATTCTCTACTTATTGTGCTAAGTCTTTTGCTTGAAGCAAGATTAAAACACTACGACCTGACTTCGGGAGGATGCTTTCCTGGAATATGCCATATTCTGTATTTTGAAGCTAAATGTTGCCTGAATTTTGTTAAATCTCAAGCCTATTAAATGCACCTTGACTTTAAAGAAACTTAATTTAAGCTTAAAACACGTTAAAAGAGAGTGAAACTTATGTTCAAAAATATGATAGAATTGCTACAGTAGAAACGTGAATGGTGGAATGCAGGATAAAATTATCCTTATGTCATTTGAACAGTGTATGACTTAACTAATCAGGAGGCTTTGTTTTCTCAGTCTTATCTACTGAATGAGTTTATTTTCCCACTGTTTTGTGTGGGGGTTTATTTAATATGTAACACTGGAGTGGTACACTTAGAAGTCCTCATCCCTATGTGATAGTGAGAACTGGGCTGAAGTCAAACATAGCCCAGTGTAAAATAATGATTGTATGGCACTTGGTGTACTGGTTCTTTGCAATGCAAATAAGTTGGTGACAACACTGTTAATACATCAGTGACTCTCTTTTCTCTCTTCCTTCTCCCCCCCGACCAGGCGTATACCCAAATCAGCTCCCTTTCAAAACAAAAAAATTTGGTAGCTTAAGGAAATCTGAAAAGTCAATATTTAGTAGTTCTGTTTGCTCTCAGTATAAATGCTTTGTACATTTTAAGATCAGTTTTGTTTTCCTTGTGTTGCTAATTGACAGCATGTCTGAGAGTTGTTAGGTGTGAGCAGAACATAAAGAATAAAGCATCCTCCTGGTAATATTTCCAGGGGTAGGCACAAGAGTCTTGTAGCCTCACCACTGGTAGGTGAATAGCAAACTTCATCAGGTTCCTTCTTCAAAGTGATGGCAACTCTGTTTTCCACATAGAGGCTCCTAGAGCCTGTTTTCAAATAACTGAGAACAGTATCCTGTGAATTTCTCCATAAGGAATTCCATCTCTGTAAATCACTGGAAATAACAGGCAATACTGACATGTCAGAGGATCTCCCTGTATTTGTCCACTCTCAGGAAAATTTGCTTCTCCCACACTTCCCCATTTTGTTCTTGACACCTTTGCATTACATCCTTTGCACTCTTCCTTTTTTAAACCACTAGCTTAGATTCAGGATTACATAATTTTGTTTATTATTTTACTAAGTCTTGGATGAGTTTCATCCTGAAAGCTCCATTAGATAGCTGGTTTTATCATCAGCAGCATTACTTTTAGAAGCTCCTTTTAGGAGAAGAAAGTAAAAAAATTATGTCTCCAGTTCAGTTCCTGGAAGCCACTTAGAGAACTAGAGCATATTTTGTTCTATCTGATAATCACCAGTTTGCCCAGATAATTGCTTCATAATTAAGAAAAGGGATTTGGGAACCTGAGATGTCCAGTGTACTTGGGACCAAAGTTTTGTGGGTGATGGAAAAGATTGTACTTTCAAATACACACTAATAGGGGGATAGAGATTCTAGTATTATTCAAATTGATGTACATGAATAGAAAGAAGACCACCTGCTGCATCCTTCTTGGTACTTTCTTTTGGCTGCTTGGACTTTTATTTACCTCTTCTGTAAAAGTCATCTGTCCTGCCCCTGCAGAGCTTGTGACCACTGGAGGTCATATGACGAGACTACTGGCCTTTGTAAGTGTGAAGATTAAGAAATAAGGTGGAAAACACATTCTGTAATAATAACAAAAGTGTCATGTTTTTGTGATTAAATAAGTCACATTTAAGCATTGCTTGATTGTTCTCTGGTTAATGAGGTTGCCAGGAACTGGAGCTCAGCATTGTATTGCTGCAGGTTTGGGCTGGAACCACAGCTCAACTTTTCCTCTGTCAGCAGCTGTTCCCAGGAGCCAGGTCCCCCCAGGAGCATTTTATCTGTCACCTAGAGCTGTTTGTTACCTCCCTTAATGCCGTTTAACGAGCTCCTCTGGCCCTGGGTGCTGCTTACAGCAGTGCAGTCATGGGGCAGAGGGGCTTGTGCCAGGAGAGATAGGGCAGGGGAGTGTTCCTCAATATAGCCCGGGTGTGATACCACCAGTGCTCACACAGGCTGTAGGTCAAGCAGCTCTTCCATCCTACCACTGTCAACACGTCATTGCCTTTAGAAAAGGCAGTGTGACTTTGCAGACCCTGTGGCTGAATATTGTGGGGTGAGTTTGAAATAAAGATATTCAAACCATGTCCTTAAAATGCATTGATTTCTTCACCTGCAAAAAAGGATCCATGTGGCTGGACAGTCCTTTGATTGCCAGCCCTTAGACTGCAGTTGGGAATACCTTTCTTGATGCACAGATACTGGTTTAAATCCAAAACTAACAGTGCTGTCCTGTTGCTACAGAAATTCTTATCAGGCACAGCGTAGTGGATGAAGGGTAGTGTTCAAACCTTATTTCTGATGTGCCCGGGACTTTGTGCTCAGGAAGTCCAGGGTGTCAAAGCTGAAGGACCAAGCTGTTTGTTTGCTATCAGTACTGGAGTGGAACAGGAGGGTTGCAGGAGTCTTTGGTTGATGGGAGGTGGGAAGTCAGGAGCTTCAGTTTTGTTTGTTTTCCTTAAGTACTTGCAATGACCTTGCTGATCATCTTTTTATAAACATTCTATCTCTCTATCATCAAAAGTCAAAATTTTAACTTCAGTACTGTAAGGTGCTTCCTGACTCTTGTCAATGTGTTATTGCAATATCCAGATCATGAAGAAGTATGGAAAAAAAGGATGAAAAAGGCTCTGAACAATGGAGGTTTGTTAGTAAGTGACCTTTTTATTGTTGTGATTCACTAAGCTCTCTGTTTACAGATGAAATAGTACAAAGTAGTCACTTAGCTTAAACTCAGCAGTTGCTAACATCCAGGCAAGTGAAAGAAAATGGGAGAGAGCTTTGCAAAGGTGAAGTGTTGATCTTTTTAGAAACATTGTCATTAATTGGGAGTCCAGCAGGGTATTCAGCAGGAGATTTAATTACAAAAGGATCAAGGTTTCTGACAAAACTTTAATAAATATTGAGTGCATGGGAGGGAATTAACAAGGTTGAGTCTTCAGCTACATAAAGTCCTGAAAATTGTACTTCAAAAGTGATGTGCGTGGCTTCTGATTTCAGCCTCTGCTGGCTGTGGGGTCTCTGTAGTGTTATTGATCGTTTTTCTAACCCAGTCACGTCTCCTGCCACTCTGAAATCAATGTTGATTTGGGTTTTGGTTTTTGGTGGTTTTTTTTTTCCCTCGAAAAATAACCTGAGAGTAGTATTGGGTATGAATGTTTTGGAAAAGGACTGGAGTGACAAGCAGGGAATGAGTTGGGAAGCATTAAGCTCATCTACTCTTGATTACAACCAAGGCTACAACCTTAGATCTGCCTTTATGACAGGAGTGTTTTTTCATGGTGATAATGATCAGTGGGTGTGAAATGGAAAAGATTAGCAGCTGGAGAAGGGTGATGTATTGCTGCAAACTTTTTTCCTTTTTCCTTTTAGATTAAAAGGAACAAACTTGTTTTAAATCAGAGCACTCCTCCTCTGCATGGTTTGCCTAAGGTGTGCCCACGTTATTTGGAGTGACAAACCTAAATGTGTCATAACTGGTGATTGCATGAGAGGGCAAACATTTAATTGATAAAAATGCTGCCATTGACTTTGGTCTTTAATCAGGTCTGTGGATGGAGTCTCTTGTCTAAACTGCCACTTAGGAGCTGTGTAACCTGCAGAGTTTCTCAAGGAGACTTTTTGATAGAGATGAGAGCTCCCACTTCCAAGGCAAAATGTCACACAACTTAATGAAGTATGAACTTCAAAAGGCGCAGAAAGAATGCATTGACCCTCTCTTAATATAACCTAGGGTTTGGGTACAGTAGGTCCTCTCTTCTGTTAATGAATGAACTGCTCCTGTAAATTTCCCAGTGTGTCTTGCTTTAATCTAAAATGGAAAAAACCGATAATACTTATACTATTTTTCCCCACTTACATATTCATATCGAATGATGTCCCACTGAAGTGCACTGTTTATTCCTGAGAAAAGCAATTGTGATACCCTCTGATGTTTGTGT